ACGTCTGCATTCCTGGTCAATATCTAGCCGGGTCCTTTCCCGCGGGGCATCTCGTTTAGATCATACTTCTCTGACATTTCTCCCTTCGCCCCACCCTTCTTTTCCTTGACATGCTTACAACCCAGCTTCCTGCAAGACGAGTTGACCGCACAGGCCGCTGTGTTTGAGCGACGGCGAGCCGAGTCCGAAATGAAGGCACGAGAGGAGAAGGACGGGTAAGGGAGCAGGGGGAATTCGAGAGTATAAGCCCAAAAGTGTACCCTTGAGAGAGACACGAAGATGGAGAAGACGAAAGGTCTCAGGAGGAATCAGGAAGCGGCAAAAGGCGGACGACGTGTGAAGGGAATGGAAAGAGAGGGACGAGGGAGGGAAGCGGTTTGATAGGGAGGAAGCATGATAGCCCCGGAGGGATGGAGAAGAAAGTACAGCCCATCGATCAGCGGTCTTGATCTCCTCCGCATGACTATATGCGCTTTACATCGTGCCCTTTTAATCGCTCCTCTTTTCCTCCCTCCCTCCCTCACCTCCAGGGCCATTGACCTTCTCACCCACGAGCTCACACGCCGGTCGCAAGCTCTGAGCCTCTTGGAAGAGGAAGTCACCGCCAAAGATGCGGAAACAAAGGCCGAACAGGGACGAAGGGCGGAGGCGGAGCGAGAGATTGAGGGTGGGTGCGCTCAAGTGGCGTTGCTGACCTCCGAGTCCTTCGCGCCTTTATCTTTTCCTTATTGAATCCGTTCCTCTCTTCTCTGCTCTCCCTTCTCACACCTCCTTCTTTTGTTGTTCTTTCTCCCCAGTCCTACGCCACCGGCTGACCACTTTGGAAGAAAAGATGTCTCGGGCAGAAATCTGCGCCAGGGCAGCGCAGCGGCGATGTGTTGTGGTGGAGAAAGAGAGGTGCGGAGGGAAGGGAAAGGAAGGGAGGGGCGTGGGAAAGGAGAGAGCATAGAAGGAATGTAGAGGTAACAGGGCCAAAGGGGAATACAGGGCGGAGGAGGCGAGTGAACCTATTTCAACGCATTCGTTTGATAGACACCCTCAGCACCCTGGAACAAGGAAGATCTCTCCTTCCTGCGCCACCTCCACCGCATCTCTCTCTTCTCTCTCCCTCCGGCCTTGCTCACTGCCTTCTCCTCCGTCTTCCCCTCTTCCCCGTCGCTCTATAGGATCCAGGAGCGCCGGTGCTGGGCGGAGAAAATGACGTGCATGAGCTCCCTCTTTCAAGACTTTGCCCTCTCTTCCTCCCTCAAATCTCCCTCCTCCTCCTCCCCCTCTTTCTCATTTTCCTCCTTCCCTTCACACCTTTCTCCTGAGAACAATCTTTCTTCTCCTTCTTCTGCGCCTTCATTGACCCTTCCCTCGGTCCCTCCATCGGTCCCTCCATCCACGCCTCCTCCCCGCCCTGCTTCGTCGTGGCGGGACGTGGGCATTGGAAGAGAGCCCTCGGTCCTTGGCAGCACAAGGGACAGGGTGGGAAGGAATGGAGGAGGAGGAGGAGGAGGAGAAAGAGGCGGAGGAGGAGTTAGGAGAAGAGGAGGAGGAGGAGAAGGAGGAGGAGGAGGAAAG